AGGGGAGGCTAGCCTGGGGCCTGCTTCGTGGACAGCTGGGCACGCACTGGGCAGCATGGACTTGGGGGTGACTGACGGGCCCCAGGAGGGAGTGTGTGGGGCGTGAGGCAGGGACCCCCCCTCCCCACCAGGTTTGGTGACAGACCAGATGTGAGGTGGTGGTGCCTGATCCCACTGTTGACCTAAACAAATATTTCTCCAGCAAAATCGGTTTATTCAGGAACAACAGAGAACATGGGGCCCAATGGCCAGACAATGGAGAGGAAACTGATGGACTGTTCTCTGAGGGCTCAGAGAGCCATGAGGGCCAAGAGCACCCCCTGCTGGCCGCTCGGTGTCATTTCAGATGCCACTTTCCCCACGAGCTGGTGCTGCGGGGCTTGCAAGGCCACAGGGGCACATACCAGTGCATGGCTCCTGTCTACCGGGCTGGGCACGGGGTGGTCCAGCAACTTGCTTCCGGGACTGGGATTCTGCCAGCTGCCGTCCTCAGAGACAGGGCTGGAGACTGGGAAGCCCCAGGGCCTGCAGTGCCCCCTGCCCGCTCCACTCCCACCCCACCCTGGCTGGCACCCCACCTGGCTACAGCTTCGACTCCCCGACTCCTCCAGCTCCTGGCTATGGGCCCATTGAACACTTTTCTTATGTCAAAGTTCTTTGTAATGCAAGTGATGTGTGCTCATTGTAGAAACATTAGAAAACACAGGAAGGCAAAATAATAAATGCTGACGATAAGTTGTACCGCATTTCAGACCACCCTACTCCCCAGAGAGAACAGGTAACAGTTTGTTAGACGGTCGGCCAGCTGTTTCGGAAGCACATAGATGGGAGGTCTGTGGTGGAACCAGGAGCACCGGGTCACATCTGTGAGATAATAATAAACAGACACAGGACAAAAACCGTGCACCTATGGATGAGGACAGTGTGGGGGGGGGTAAGGGCAGAGGGTGAGGTGGGAACCGGGTGGAGGGGAGCTATGGGGGGGAAAAGAGGAACAACTGTAATAATCTGAACAATAAAGATTTAATTAAAAAATAAACATACACACCTGTCTCTGCCCCCAGTTCCTGGCACAGAGCTCTGGAAACCCTTGGGGCTTCCTCGGTGAAAGGAGTGTGCCTTGTTCTAATGAGAGGAATCCGGGTGGGGCCCTGGATGGGGCTGGTCACCCCAAAGACCAGGCCACGGTGTGAAGCTTGGAACCTCAGCCCTGCCCCCACCCTCGGGAGGGGAGACTGTTGATGATGGATCCCACCTGTGTGATGAAGCCTCCTGACGATCCTTGAGGTACAGGGTTCAGGAAGCTTTGAGTTGTTACACGTCTATGTGAGGGAGGCACAGCCACCTCTGGGCTCAGGACTCTGCCAGGCCTCGCCCTGTTACCTCCTCATCTCGCTGTCTTTGTGCGTCCTTGGTAATGAGCTGGTAATCTAGCAGGCGAGCTGTTTACCTGAGTCCATTCTAACAAATTATCAGATTCATCTGTGCTTCTAACCGACCAATTTACAGCTGGTTGGTCAGAAGCACAGGTGCCAACCTGGACACAAGGTGTAATACTAAGTGAGTGTGTGTGTGTGTGTGTGTGTGTGTGAAGTGACTGAGTGGAACTGTAGGACCTGTCAACAATATTCTTTTTCGATTCTCTATCCACCCCACTACTTACACGAACCACCTATTACCACTTATAATTGCTAGTCAATTCCCCCTGGCCAAAGAAGCCCAGACACGAAATTATATGTCACTATACTAATTTTACTCCAAATATTCTTCATCATAACATTTTCTGCCACAGAGTTTATCCGCATTTATATCCTATCCAAACCACACTGGCTCCCTTGTTACCACCTGGCTGGTGTCACAGAGCTGTTACGTGCGGAAAGCCTGCACATCAGTGTCAGAAGTGCTGAGAGAGGAGAGCACAGCTGTGTTGCTCCAAGACAAGATCACACTGCTGTTCACTAGCTGTGCAATCTCAGGCAAGATACTTGACCTCTCTGCGTCTCCATCTCCTCCCTAGTAAATTACAATGGGAACATGGATGTCATCTATGGACAGGAATGGTCTGGGCCTCAGTGAGCTCACTGATGCCTGGGAAGTGCCCAGAACAGTGCCTGGCAGAGAGCACTGACCTCTCTATGTGCATATGCACTTGCTTAAAGACATTTGGAATCTACCACAGAGTCCAGAGCTGAACCTGGGTCAGGGTAGCAGGGTAGCAGGGTGAATGGTGGCCCCTCAAATTCATGTTCATGTGGATCCTTGAATTCGACCTTATTTGGAATAAAGATCTTTGCACCTGTAATGAAGAATTTCAAGATGAGGTCATCCTGAATTAGGGTGGGACCTAGATAAAATGACGGGTACCTTTATAAGAAACGAGACGGGACCGGCCAGTGTTTCTCAGTGGTTGAGCATTGACCTATGAACCAGGTGCTCATGGTTCAACTCCTGGTCAGGGCACATGCCCGGGTTGCGGGCTCAATCCCCAGTGGAGTGTGCAGGAGGCAGCTGATTGATGATTCTCTCCTATGAATGTTTCTATGTCGCTATCCCTCTTCCTTCCTCTCTATCTAAAAATCAATAAAGAGAAAAAAAATTTTTTTTTAAAGAAACGGAGGAGGCAGCCATTAGAAATGGTGCAGAGACTGAGGGCTCAGCCACAGCCCAGGAACCCCAGGAGCCACCGGAAGCTGGAAGAGGCAGGAAATGTTTGTGGGAGGTCTTCCAACACTTTCATCTTAGACTCTGGCCTCCAGACCTGGGAGAGAATAAATGTCTATTGTTTTAAGCCAGCTAGTTTGTGGTAATTTGGATAGCACCCCTGGGACACAAATACACCAGGTACTATGGACTGAACTATGTGCCCCCAAATTCCTACGTTGGACCTCAATGTGACTATATTTGGAGGTGGGGCTCTAGGGGCTAATAGATTAAATGAGGTCATAAAGGTGGGGGCCTAATTTGATAGGACTGGTGGCCTTAGAAGAGGAAGAGATCTCTGTCTGTCTCCACACCTGCACAGAGGCCGTGTGAGAGAGACGGTGGCCACCTCCAAGCCGAGAGGGGAGGCTTCTGAATGAAACTGCCTTGCCAGCACCTTGGTCCCAGACTTCCCGTCTCCAAAACGATGAGACATAAGTGTCTGTTGTCGAAGCCACCAGTTCGTGGTATTTTATTATGTCGGCCTAGCTGACTGACACACCAGGTAACCTAGCCCTCAGTGATGGGATCGCTCAGGAAGGCACGGCCGGCACCAGAGGCCAGCACGCTGGGCGCAGCGGCCCCCAGGAGCTCGGTCCAGCAGCATCTGCAGTCCAACCACGTGTCACTGCAACGCTGCTGGCAAGCGGCCACAGAAGACAGGAACCTGGAGGGGTGGCCCGAGAGCCCGGCAGCGTCCAGGCCCCGCAGGCCAAGGGCTGCGCCAACAGCACTGATGTGAACCGCAAAGACAGTGCTCCCTGAGGGTCACGAGCTCTGAAAAATGACCCGCAGGGACCACGAGGAGCTGGACATGGGAACAGGAAATAGCTGAATCAGATTCATCTTGGAAAATACAACCTCACACATCTGGGTAAAATTAATCCCAAACACAGGATGAGACAGCACAGCATGGGACAGGGAGGGGGATGGCAACCCTCAGGGCAGCCGGAAGGGCCAGCAAGGAGCTCATCTGGGTACCCTCTCTGATTTTTGGGGGGTGGTCTTGGTGTGGGGAGCAGGAGGCTGGGGACATAGGCACTTGGGAACCCCAAGCCAGGGTTTTTGGAAATAGGGGCCTGAGGTCTTAGCTTCCTATCTGGCTGGACAGTGACCTGGTGGTCCAGGGAGAGGAGCATTCCATCCATGACCTTGCCCGCTGGTGCCCAGGCCTCCATGCAGTGGGCACTGAGGCTCTCCTCACCCTCACAAAACCTCACTGCACCTGTGGAAGCCCTGTGTTCCTCAATTTTGCAAGTTGCTCAGTGCTTTAAATACTCACGTGTGATGGATCATTAAAAGCTGCCTCTGCCCCCCAGGACAGAACCCAGGTGCCCTGGCCAGAGACAGTGGACATTAGAAGAAAAGGAAATGGTCTTCTCAGGGGATAGAGGGCTGCTCCCTGAGAAGAGGTGGAACCCACCAGAGGGGTGGAACCGACCAAGGCTCCCACCCTTTACAGAGCCTCCTGGGTGTGTGTTCGGGGACTCAGGAGAGCAGGCTAGGAGCTGGTGTGGGAGGCTGAGCCCTGGGCGAGGCACCTGCCTCCCTCAGCCCCGTGCCCGCTGCATGTGGGGTGGTGGAGGAGAAGGCTGAGACCAGTCCCATCTGGCCTGTCCCACCTAGTCTGCTACACTGCTCTAACCAAGAGACTCCAAAACGTAGTGCCTCAAGCAGGAGAGACACAGGAACGCTCAGTATCTCCAAGACGTCAGCTTTCCCAACCCGATCTGTAGATTCAGCGAAATCCCAACCTTGGAAGAGGAATTTCTGGCTGTGATTTCTTTAAATTGGATATGGCTGCCGAACTGGCTTTCACAAAGACCTCCCACAAATTGCCAATTCCCTCACACCTTCAACACGTGTGATTAAGTGTTTAAACGCTCGACAAGGCGGCAGGTGGGCTTGTCTCGCCTGTGTGTGCACTTCCCGATGATCGGACAGGTCAGGCAACATGGCATACATTTATGAGCAGCGTTTCTTCTGTGACTTGCCTATTGCTGCTCTTGCCAATTTTTCCATTAGATCATTGTTCCTTATTTATCTGTGGACAATTTCATAATTACATGAATTAGACTTAATTTCAAAATGTGCCACAGACACTTTCCTCTGGGTTCCTTTTAAATTTTAAACTTGTATGTAGTCAAGACTATCATTCTTTTCTTCCCGTGTTTCAGGTTTATGGTGACACTTGGACAATAAAAACATTCATCCCCTTTCCAGAACCTTCTTCGTTTGATCCAGCTGGATCTTATTTTGGTGTGAGGAGTGAGGGAGGACCCCGACTTCCATTCTCCCCGATGGCCGCCCGCTGTCCCAACGCCATTCAACTGAAAACCTCCCGACTCCGGCTCCGCTGCGCCTTCGCGGGACCCCGCACCACCTGGTCTCCCGGGTCACCGGCCCGGCCCCGCCCTTAAAAGGAGGCGTGTCCTACGGTGCTATTGGCATAGAGGCGTGTCCTCTTGTTCTATTTGCATAGAGGCGTGTCCTCTGGCGCCCCACCGAACCCTCATTTGCATGGGGCGGTCTCCTCCGCTGTGCGCTTCCCCGGCGTCGCCATCTACTTGGCGGAGCCGCGCATGGGCCGCAGCCGCCGGGCCTTCCTCACGCGCCTGGCGCTCTCCAAGGGCTTCCGCGTGCTGGACGCCTACAGGTGCGGGGTCCTGGGAGGTCGCCTGTCTGGGGGCGGGGCCGCCTACCTGACCAGGTGACGCTTGAAGAATGAACAGCCCTCCCGCCGGGGCT